ACGTTGGGTCGCTGCTGCCTCAGCCCGACGTGAGCCTCAGCGTAAGCGCTGCTGTGACGGAGGAGCAGCTGCAGGCTGCTGGGCAGTTCTTCTTGAAGGAGGCTCTTCTTGCTCATATTTCCTCTTCTTTAGAAGACAGCCAGCTGCAGCTTTGTGCTCTGTTTCTCTTTAAACGCGTAGTGCTGCAGCACTACAAGGACCTTGTGAATGAGGCCGCCAAACGGGCTGTGGAGGAATCGCAGCCAGCAGCAGGGGAAATGAGCACCCAGGCTCTACAGCGGCGAGCACAGAAGAAACGCCAAAGAGATGCAAAAGCTGCAGAGGAAGGAGAGGGAAAAGCAACGAAGAAGCAGGGCACAGCAGCAGCAGAGTTGCTGCCACTCGTATACGAGTGTGTTGATCGTGTGGCTCGGGTGATGGTGCAGCACGCGACCTTCTCAGCTGTCAGTCAGAAGCTTTCATCCATCTGCGCCGACGTCTACGTCTCCTTTCTCCTCAACTTTCCCATGACGCAGCGACTGCAACAAAGACGCGTCTTCTTTCTTTTTCAGCAGCAAAAATTCTCTGATGTCTACGGAAGACGGGCGGCCATTGCAGCACTTCACAAAGTGGTGGTGGGTTGGAAAGCTGTATGCAGTTGTTGTATTTCTCGCCAATTCAACAATTCTTAAAAATCCTTTTAGTGATTCATATGAGCTTTAAAATAGATAAAATTAAACTCCGTCTGCATGCAGCACTTTAATAAAACTTCGAAATGATATCGAGAAGGAAAGCCTTGCTTTTTCACGTAATAGATGAAACACCAGGCACAAAGTAATTAAGAGTTAGCTTGCGTTTGTCCCCCAGGAAACCTTACTGTCTTGCGCACTGATGGGGTTGACTGCTTGTCTATATATTATGTGTTGCTGCAACGAGTTGACTTTCTGGGTTTCATGTTGCTGTGCATACACCGCGTGTGTGTGTTGCTTTCTCAGCGGCGGTTCCCAGCAGAGCTGTTCATGGAGCGATACGGAAAGGTGGCGCTGCTGACGTGCTGCTCAACGCTAGCAACAGAAACAGACCAAACGGCGCATGCGCTGCTGCAGCAAGTCGTGCGAGAAGTGCTGCAGCTCGTTGAAGTTGCAGATGATCCCGTTTTACGTCTGCAAGACCAGCTGAAGACTGTCGCCAAGTACGCACAGCCATCAAATATTTCGCTTCTAATATTTTATTTATAAATAAAATATAAAATTTATTTATTTCCATGAAATACGTCAAAAACTTTTCATAAATATATATTTTTATATATGCCTGTATAAATATCTATTTTAAAACAATTCATGAAAAAAAATATAAAATATTGCAATAAATTTCAAACGCCGTGTCAGAAACTCCAGCGGTTTCCTGTTGCTTACGCACTGCACTCTCGCCACAGAAATACCTCTACTGAAAACAAAATTTGTTTTTTTTAATGTTTGTTTTAATATTAGATACTATTAAAGTAAATACAATAATACATTTCAATGGGTTTCTCAGAATTTCTTTGCATACTTTCGCCACGGAAATAGGAAGTACCTCTATATAACGAGAAACCATTTTTTTTTGTTTAGCCGCATGTTCATCATCAACTTTTTATTTTGCTTGAAGGCCCGCATAATCTTTGTGTGTTGTTATAGAGCGATGTTTTCTTTGATTTGGCTGCATTTCGTTTTCTCTCTACTGTCGGTGATGTGCGTTGTGTTCAGGGTTTTCTTGGTGCCCCGTCTGCAGCACTTAACAGCACTTCTTGAATTCTTGAGCATATTCGTCCCCCAGGTTGTAGGGGGGGGGATGATGCTTCAAAAGGGGGCCCCCTTCGCCTCCTTCTTACCCAAAGTGCTGCAGCTCTTATGTACTG